CATGGCTACACGACGCCGTTCAGGTGGCCGGAGAGCAGGGACACGGCGTGGTATGCGAACGTGCCGCACAAGCACCTGACGGTAGAGAAGGCCGGGCAGAACTGGGTCCGGTTCGAAGGGGACCGGTTCAGGTTCCCCGGCGGCGGGACCATGTTCCCGCGCGGCGCCGACGCGTACATAGACGACATCGGGAAGCTGATCGACCTCGCCGGCGGCGGGATCAGGACCGCCATCGACACCGGCTGCGGGGTGAGTGTGGTCATCGATTTTATCTAAATACGGTGGCGTTTTAATGATACTTGCCGTTTTGAAATTTAGTTGGTCTAATTAATAAGTTTTATTTAACTATTTTCAATAAAAGCCAATAAAAAATTAAACAAGTGGTGATAAGAACGAAGTAAATGGTGGGTATGAGATGAAATTTATGAAGGGTATATTAAATCAAGTTTATTTTATTTACCTTTTATAACCTAATAAAATTTTGGTGATTATATCTTATTACATGCAATAAAGTATTCAAATATTTAACTAAATTTAATTTAGGTCTCCATAAGATGTAGTCCCAAATTATATTAATCTACTTTAGTCTTATATTTCCAAGAATGTGAGATTTGTAATATTTAATAATTTTTTATTCAGAAAATTAAAGGTCCTTGGAATTTGTCACCTTATGGGCTTGAGAATGTTTTCGTTTGTGAGAATATTTAACAGTAGTAATAATAATAATAATAATAATAATAATAATAATAATAATAATAATAATAATAATAATAATAATAATAATAATAATAATAATAATACGGTCCTATTAAAAAATCGGAGACGTGTGCGCTAGTTAAGCATGGGCTAATTAACCATAAATAAAATAATAAATAACGAAATATTATATGCTAATCTTTGATTCATATCAGAGGTTTGGTAAGCAAACATTTTCTTTATACTATTTCTATCTACTAATAAAGCTACGTAATATTTTTAGCATGTTAGGATTCATAACTCTTTGAACATACAAAGTGATTAAAATGCCTACATTTTTTTTTCCCTTCATTTACACTCCAAGAATATTATTTTTGAATAAAAAATGCAATAAATAGAAAAAAATAAATAAATAGAATTTCTCAACTTTTTCAGAAGGATCATGCTAAACTAGCAAATGATTCTTGAAATGGTTCTATTTACATGTTTTTTTTTATTCCCTCTTCATCCCAAAATGATCTAATCAGTATATTTTTGGTCAAATTTACCCCTGTTTAGTTTTAAATTATTGAGTATGACATAAAGTTGTTTTTTAATTAGGCTTATAATAGGGACAGTCCAATACATTCACAATTATTACACCAAATTTTTACTGAACATGTTTTATTTAATTCTCCAAGACAGATTCACATAAAGTTTCATTGTCTTTTTTCCAGATATTTTGTAATGGGCTGTTAGATATTTTCAGACAAATGAATTTTCTTGACAAAGATTTCATTGGAAACATATGGATATTACAATAAACACACTAGAAAAGAACAACTGAATGTTTTATTGATAAGAATACAAATCCTACTACTGAATTAATTGCATAACATTGAGAAAATAAAAATATTATATGGAGCTGCTCTGTTTTCATTTTATTTTTATTTTTGTATACCTTAATTCGATCCGATTTTTATTTTCAGGTTGCAAGCTGGGGAGCTTACTTGCTCTCTCGAAACATATTGCCAATGTCTTTTGCGCCAAAAGACACGCACGAAGCCCAAGTCCAGTTCGCGCTTGAGCGAGGCGTGCCAGCCTTGATCGGTATAATGGCGACTCAACGGCTGCCCTATCCTTCACGGGCCTTCGACATGGCCCATTGCTCCCGTTGCCTTATTCCATGGGCCCAATATGGTAATTGTAAAAGAAAATTCAACAAACTTTAAAATTCTATAATCAACATGAACTGAAATGGGAGACTCATTGTTGTTGTTGGGTTTAGATGGGCTTTACTTGATCGAGGTTGACCGAGTCTTACGGCCCGGCGGGTATTGGATCCTGTCCGGCCCGCCCGTGAACTGGGAGACTCATTGGCAAGGCTGGGACCGGACGCGCGCTGACCTGGACGCCGAGCAGAAGTCGATTGAGAGTGTTGCGAGGAGCCTCTGCTGGAAAAAGATTGTGCAGAAAAATGACCTTGCAATATGGCAAAAGGCTACTAATCACGTGCATTGTAAATTGAATCGAAAGGTTTTCAAAAAGCCTCCCTTCTGCCAGGTGGGCCAGGACCCGGACCGAGCCTGGTAAAAAATGTTTCATTTTTCTCTTGTCGAGCTATCGAAAATTTTCATATGCTCTAAAAATCGGGCCTACTTTGTTCTGTTTCTCGCAGGTATACTAAAATGGAAGCATGCCTAACCCGAATGCCCGAAGTATCGAACGTGAAAGAATTATCAGGCGGTGAATTACACAAATGGCCTGAGAGGCTGACAGCTGTCCCTCCTCGAGTCCTTAGCGGGAGCGTGAACGGGGTCACACCTGATAGTTTTGAGAAAGACACCGAGCTCTGGAGAAAACGGGTTTCGCACTACAAGGCTATAGACGGCCAGCTGGCAGAGAAAGGACGGTATCGTAATTTGCTCGACATGAATGCCGGTTTGGGTGGTTTCGCGGCAGCTTTGGTTGATGATCCTGTCTGGGTCATGAATGTGGTCCCGGTCGAGGCTTCGGTTAACACGCTTGGGGTTATTTACGAACGTGGGTTAATCGGGAGTTACCAGAACTGGTAAAAAAAATGTCATTTTTTTTTACTTCTTTTTTTAAACAAGAAAGTGTAGTTTTTGAACTTTAATTTTTTCTTTTTCAAAATGTAAAGGTGTGAGGCCATGTCGACTTATCCGAGGACCTACGATTTCATTCATGCCGATGCATTATTCACTCTCTATAAGGACAGGTATAAGTTAATCGGTGACTAGTTGATTGAAAAATGAAAACTAGTCGAGTCACACTAACCGGGTGCTCCCTTTTTTTTTTTTTGTGTGTGTGTGTGTAAGATGCGAAATGGAAGATATTCTGCTGGAAATGGACAGGATTTTGAGGCCACAGGGAAGCGTGATTATACGCGATGATGTGGATGTGTTGGTAGACGTGAAGAGTATAGTCGAAGGGCTTCAATGGGAGAGTCGGATGACAGATCACGAAGGTGGGCCCCACGTTCGGGAGAAGCTTCTTATCGCGACCAAGATGTATTGGACTGCACCTGCAACTGATGAGAATCAAGAAGCAAAAACAGCTTACTAACACAAACTCTTTTTTCTTTTTTTCTTGTTTATTCTTTTTTGTTTCTAATATATTTGCCAACCTCTAGATTTGTTTGTGTTTGTGTTTGTGTTCCCCCTTTTGTTGTTATTTTGATTCTTTTTTTTTTTTTTTTTTTTTTTTTTTTTTTTTTTTTTTTTTTTTTTTTTTTTTTTTTTTTTTTTTTTTTTGTCATTGGGATAATTGGAGGAACAATGTATGATTTTTACTTGTTTTAGTCACACAAAACCCTTTTTAACTTAAATTACTGATCTTTGGAAAATTCTTTCCAGTTATTAACACTTGCCCCCTAAGGTGTGCATTTATGTATCAGATGCCCCCTCTTTGAGGGTCTAATTTACTAGACAGGTATAAACCTGTGGGGGCGTTTGCAATATTGAATATGTATTTCTATTGTGCAGTAGTGTAAGAACTTATTAAGGGTTCATAAATAACCAATTCAACATTGAGCTTGTAACCATATATTCATGCAACTTAATTTCTTGATAATGTAAAACTGATAGATATAGTTGGAATTTGAGAAATTGTACGTAACCACGTGCAATGCACAAGATATAAATATTAAATAAGTTATTTTTCACATACTATGTCCGCTTAAGTCTAAAAGTCGTTTATGTATAAAAAACAATAGGTTCTTTATATTGAACCTTGTTGTATTTTAGCAACTAATCTTTGATTGTTGTAATTTCTAAACCAAAATCGATGAAATTTGTAACTTTTATTACCATAAAAGGGTCATTTTTTTTTTAAAAAAAAAAGTGTGAAAAACACAACCAACCAATTTTGTCAAATTACAATTTGAAATTATCCTATTCGTAATAACATTATACAGAGAATTTATTAAGATTATTTTAATCAGATTACATAAAACACAACGCGTTGTGTTAATATCATTTTCCCCGTTAATCACATTTCTTAACCAAATGAATAAGATTGAAAAACATTTGTAGATAGTTGACCAACTCTTGAACACAGTCAACGCTGACGTGTATTCTCCAACGTGTATATATATATACGTGGAGTGAGCAGACGAGCGGAGTGTTGAAGCAGCTGTTCTCCGTTTGTTCTTTCGCACGTTACTGTCAATTTCAAGATTATCTCATCGCAGGTTTAGCTCAAAATTGTAATAAATGGGACAATATTTTGATTTATTATTGTGTATATGTTTCGATTTACCAGCCATTTTCATTTCTTTGCTTAATTTCTTGAATCGTGAGGATTATCACTCTGAAAAAAAAAAAAAAGATCTTTGATTTGGGGAAGAAAAAACGGATAAAATCTGATAAGATTTGTATGATTTTTTTTTTTTAATTTTTTTCTCATGTTTTTTCAGGTTCTTTATGCAAAATTGAAAACCCTCCATGAATTTGGCGTAAAGGTTGGTTTTTTTTTTTAATCGTGTACAGATTTCTTCTTTTTTTTCCCCATCCCTTTTTGATCTGCGTTAGGGTTAGCTACATTTTGTTGTTCAGTTTCATTTGTTTCTGCTAAAACTCTGCTGTAAGGAAATTTTTGCAGCTTGTTTGCTATTGTAAGATTTCATGGCAATTATTTATTATTTTGGTTAATTGTAAATGAGTTTTGCTTAGGCTTAAAAGTTAGTTTTTTATCGACTCTGATATTCTCCATATGCTTTGTAAAAAGGAGAAGGAAAAAGAAGAAAAAAAAAAAAACCCTGATATTCTCTCTTGATATTGTTTAGTTTGGCAGGCTACTGTGAAATGGAGGGTGGCATAGATTTTGTTACTGTCTTCGATGTTGATATAACATCAAGCATCCTCGAACTTTTGAGCGATCCGTGTGATCTCCTGAGGGCTAGTGCAGTTTCGCGAGCATGGCACCATTTCTGTGAGCTGATTTATCGACTTTCACTTGTGTTCTTTTTCGGGGTTACTATTTGTAGCACTTGTTTTATTTCATTTTATTTGTTTACTTGTATTGCATGCCTGCCTTTTACTTCTCTTGTTGAAGTAAATTAATCACTTGCTTGATTTTGTTACGCCGTGCCATGCCATGTATACGTATATGGGAAATATTTGTTCTGTCTCATGATTTGCTATAGTTTGGTTACAACTGATCTGCTGCCATTTTTTTTTTTTTTTTCCTTTATAGGTCACATTGTCTCGATTCTTGATTTCACAAGCCCGTGCGGGCTTGTGGCTTTAGACATAAACTAAAGCATTGGAATGATTTCATTTTAATGTTTCATGTCAAGTTTCAAATTATTGGATTGTGCTAGAAAATTTTGAGCGTTACATGTTGGAAAAAGTGTCGGCTCTTTCTGTTTGTCATCTTCTTGGGAACATGATGAAGGAGATAAATTGGTTTTTACAAAATTTGTGAAATCATGCATGCAATAACTAATCACGAAGCACGAGCCAAGGAATATATTTCTTGATCTCTCAAACTCCTTGATTCGTTGAGAATTTTGATTTTTCTAGATTTATTTACTTGCATTGTAGATTTTTGTGATGCTGTAAGCAAGAGATTAGTTGAGAACTTTATTTTTCTATACTTCTCTCCACGTGTCGAAATTAATATGCTCCGTAGATGCAGTTTATGCTTTACTTGACCATCAGTTCGAATCTTGTCGTTGATCAAAACTTTTTTTCCAAATTTATTTGGCATATAAAACCTTATTACATTCAGACAATCTGGATTTCTTTTAACCTCTTTCTCTTTTCTTCTGTCCGTCTGCCGTTTCTCTTTTTTTTTTTTACCAACTTCACGAGATGTAGCTGTCAATATGCACATTGAATGTCTTCATAAACTGAACTGAATTAACCCCTCTGGATAAGGTGTTCCCATTATAGGATTTACTTTTACTGTTCAATTTGAAAAATTTACATTGACCATGCGCAACAAATGCATCTTTTTTTCTCTTTTTGCCAGTGATTGCAAATGGCCTTTGCAAGAAGCTGTGGTTGAGAAAGGTTCCTCAAGTCACTTACATCGCCTATTCAGTCAAAAAAATTGACGGGAAAAATAAACTAGTTAACGTTGCATCTAAAAACACCGTCAACTGGAGTTCTTCTCTCGGGAAGGAGCGTAAATTAGTTTTTACACTATATCACCCCATTCCACACAACGGGATAAATAAACTAATTAATGTCACGTCTAAAAACCACAACTTTAACTGGGGAAATCTTGACATGGAGCATAAATTATTTTCTTCTCTACTCCACACTCTCTCGAAGCCCATAACTTCTCCCAAATTCATCATGTCATTCCGTGTTGGCGCCTCGAGCACGGACCAAAACCCGCCCGTGACCATTATTAATACCCTGACCCCAGAGCTTTATTCCTTCTGGTCCAGTAAAGGGCAGAATGACCCTAATGCACCTGAGTATCTGTTGTATAAGCTAATGACCAGTGTAAGCATTGTGACCGAAGTTCATATACAACCTCTTGAAGGTAATGGCTGTACTTTTTTTTTTTTTTTTTTTTT